CACGCGCGCACACTCACACGCACACACTCATACACAAACACAAAAAAATGCACATGCGGCCCAGGCATCTACGTGAGCGACATCCTTGACGCCGTGCCCATTGACAAGTACTTTGAGCTGTTCAGGCCGGGGGCGGGCGGGGAGGGGGGCTTCATCCGGCTGGGCCTGGACTACAGCACAGAGCCGCCGGACTTTGGGCACCACGGTGGGCGCAGGCCTCGCTTTTTGTAGTGGTTGGTAGTGAGGAGCAGGGAGGGAGTGAGGGCACTGGAGGGACGCCGGCCAGGGTGCCTTTGATGGGAGGGGCGGGGGGCGCTCTCGTTGGTTATGCGTGCGCGTTGGGCAGGGAGGCAGCTGCAAACTCTTGCATTCAGAGCCGTCGGATGCGCCTGTATGGCGGCCCGCCTCCCCTCATTGAGACGCACCGGTTGATAGTGGTGGCCACAACCTCCGCAACCCGCGTGCCTGCCGGGCCCCCACTCCAGAGGACGGCTTCGCAAACGGCGGCGCGGCCGGCGGCGCCAAGGCCAAGCGGTGAGTGGGCGGGCAGAGCCACGTGCGCGGGCGCGCTGCCAGAGGCGGGGAAACACGGCTCAGCTCTGAGGAGGCGGCGCGGGCCCAGACTGCTGCACCGCCTCACGAGCCGGGCAAAGGCGAGGGGCTCTGGGCCGCCCCGACCCCGTCTTGCGCCGCCTGCGCAGCCAATCGCCCAGCACTGAACGCCACCAACCAACGCCCACGGCCCGCGCAGGCGGGGGTGGCTCGTCCCGGCGCTGCTGCTGGCGGGGGCCGCGGTGGCGGGCGGCGTGTTGACCAAGCGGACGCTGGACAAGCGGAATAGTGGGGATGTCAAAGATGCCAAGGAGGTGGTTGCTACGCCGGCCCCCAAGAAAAGGTGGTGACTGGGACCCTCTTGAGATAACCGGCACATGTTGAGGAGCCGCACGCGGGACGAGATGAGATGAGATGAGATGCAATGAGACGAGGCGAGATGACACGAGCGGCGCGGCGCGCGCTGCGCGCGCGCGGCAGCGCCGCACACACGGCAGCGCCCTCCCCCTCCCCAGCAGCCGTCACGGCTCGCGGCTCCCGTGCTGGTGATGAGTGCTGAGGGCTGCGCGCGCGCGCGCGCCGCGCCTGGGTTGCGATCAACAGTCGGCAGCAATGCCCTGCGAGGCCGCGGGGCCGCCCCCGCTTCTCCTTCCATTTCCGCCCGCGTCCCGTCTCCTTTGAGCCACCGGCCGCGCCGCACTTTGCTCGCCGGGGACGACGCTCGCTTTTCGGATCTGCTGGCCACGGCGCCCTTGCCGCGCCGTTTTTTGGGGGGGAATGATGAGGTGCCGGCGGCGCACAACCCGCGCATGGTCCCATTGCAGTGCTCACGAGTGCCGGCGGCGGCGCTCGGCTTGACAGCGCCCCGGCGCGCGCTGGGTGCACCCTCAGCTGTTTGACGGCACGGGCCCAACAGGCAGCATTTGGCACACGGTGTGCAACGAAGGCAAGGTGACACCATCCCCCCCCTCCCGTTGATGCGTTGACACACGATCGTCCCATCACCCCCGGCTTGACCGACCCCTGTCTTGTCGCACCCCTGGGCTTGCGTGCCCAGGGCAAGCACAGACCCAACGGCCACACCCTCACACATGCTCCAATGCTGTGCTTTCGGTTCTGTTTGGTTTCGAATCTCGATCGCGCGGCTCGCGCAAGACGCCTGTCTTCACTGCACACGGGCTACCTGCTTCCACATTTCCTCTTGCGGGGCAACCTCCCCTGTACTGCACACCCTCCCCTCTTCTTCTTGCAACACCCAATTCCTCCTCCTTCCTGGACCCAGGCAGTGGCAGCCTGGCTGCGCAGGATGTGCGAAGCAGCAAAAGCAGCGCAGAGGCGCTCAACTCAGTTGCAAGCCAGGCATGCATGCACGCATGTTCAGCCAGTTGTGCCTGCTCCGCCACACACCCCGGTCTGGCGGCAGGGGAAAGCATGGGCCAAGGCAAACCCACAAATAGAAGGCATGGCCAGCGTTTGCACACTCGCAGCTGCAGGCTTTGCAGGCCTAAACACTGGCAGCGGCCTTGGCGCCGGCCACCAGCGGCCTGTAGCCGCCATCACATGCATGGCTCATCCATGCGACACCAGCAAACGCCACCGACCTCTCACTCCCAGCCACTGAACGTGCGCTCGCGCGGCCCAGGCCGGCCCGCGAATGGGCCTCTCCGGCACGGCGCGACGCGGGGGGAGGGGCCCAAGAGCTGGCCAGCTTGAAACGCTGTGCCGCCAGCATCCGTCACCCCTCCCCCCCACTGGAGCGGCTCACTGGCGCTTCCTGGCGGCGGGGATCGCGTCGACCGCGAAGCCGCCCGCGCCCAGCGCCATCAGCAGCAGCGCGCCGCCCGCCAGCCCCAGGTCCACGAAAAAGTGCTCCCTCACGTGCTGCGCGTACGCAACATTCGGCGCCCCACGCTCCCAGAACCGCCAGCACGCGGCGGCCTCGAGGACGAGCGCGCCCGCGAGGGCCGCGGCCGCGGGGCGCGTCGCGAGGCCGAGGGCGAGGAGGGCGGCCAGGGCGCACTGGATTAGGACCAGGGGATTATCATGGGGGTCCGACCGGCCGTAGTGCTGTGTGGTGCCGGCGGCGGGGGGCGGCGCGGCGGCGCGGGCCGCCAGGCGCTGGACCTGCGATGGGCGAGGAGAGGGCGCGCAGGGCGGGGGCGCCGTGGACGCTGCGCGATCGTGCTATTGTTGCGGGCGGGCGAGGGGCCGGCACGGGCGTGGCTGCATCGCTTCCGCTGCTTGTGGTGCCAGGCACATTACACAGCTACGAGTGCGTAGTGGCGGCGGCGCCTCCGTTATTGCTGGGACCCCTTCCTAGTGGCACAGATAGACGAATAGATAAGTTACTCATGCCATAGCATCCCTGCCATCGGCCCCGCCTAGTGGCACGACCTCCCTTGGAGCCTGAGAACGGAAGGCCCCCAGGCACCCTGCTCAGACAGCTGGCCCATATGTCTATGTGATGCCCGCCTTTCCTATGCACCTCACCTGCATCCAGCCGCTGAACGCCAGCAGCAGCGCCATCAGCACCCGCCCCGCCAACAGCAGCGCGCTCCTGCGCGCCGACGTGCGCGGCCGCGCGCGGCGCCCGCCCGCCGCCATCACGCAGGCGGCGGAGCTGCCGCCGTGGTCGTCCTCGTCAGCGTTGCCGGCCGTCGGCGGCCCGGCCCACGCGCCGGCGGAGCGCGCGTGGCGGGCGTCGCGGACGGATGCGGCGAGCAGCAGCGCGGCGGTGCCGCAGACGGCCAGCGGCTTGACAAGCAGCTCTGTGGGCCGGGACCTGCGGGCAGTGTGTGGTGCAGAGTAGGCCCGGAGAAAGCTTGCCGCAAGGAGATGGCTGCAGTTTGTACACAGGAGGTGCCAGCAAAGGCTTTGGAGATTGACTCATTTGTGGAGCACTTTGTTCCCTCAAGCCAACAAACGAACCGTCTTGAGCCTTCGCTTGCACAGCTGCCTTGGTGCATCGGAGCCGCGGACGATGATGATGATGATAAGTTACTCATACCATAGCATCACTGCCATCGG